TAGCTTTGCCCGACTTCAAAACTCGCGTAGACGTCTTTATATTGGATAAAGTTCCGTTTAATACAATACAATAATTAATATGTTTAGATGCGCGTTAGCTGCAGGCGGGCAGACGTTTATTACGCGATAATAACATCTTTGTATATATGTAATATGCTTTTGTGTGCGTGTGTGTGTGTGTGTGTGTGTGTGTGTGTGTGTGTGTATTAGGATGTATGACGCACGTGACTTAAATTTAAGAGCCCGGAATGATGAAAGAAAATAATAATATAATAAACTCCGACGACGACGTCTCCGTTCTGCCGTCGGTAAATAGTGTGGATAATTAGTTTTCGGGACTAATGAACGTCGTTGTGTGTACGATATTTTGTCAGATTACCTGTACGCGTACATGGTATTATAATATTTATAAAGACGCACGCTGCAGTAAAATTAGATAATAATATTACGTAAAATGACAGAAAGGGGTTTTACAGCCAGTCGTTAAAAAAGTAACTGGAATACTGTAAGACCGAAGCGGAAGTCTGATGAAGAATTATTAAGTAAGATAAATTATTATACGTTCTCGTCGTTTATCGATTCCTCGACTCATTAAAACGTTGTGTTCGAGCCGTGTGTATACGGTCGCGAGGAGCCCCCGAGAAATGGTAAATGGATGTTATTTTATTATGCACAACGACTATCATAATCTAGGTGCATAATATTATACCACGCGGTCAACGACTTGTCAATATGTGAAACGTTTACAGAGCACAAAAAGTACTGGAAAACTAACATTATCCGCCGGGCCATTATTGACGTCGTCGAAAAACAATTGAGCTAGACCGATTAAATAGTTTTTTTTTTCAATTTTACTTCAGTTCGGATTCCCGATCACAGCAAACATTTTGTCGGCTGTTTCACTATAGGATTTATTTAGTATTTAAAATCGGTGCGTATAATTAGAAAAACAATAATATTATTTACATAATACCTGTGTATAGATATCATATAATGAATAAAATTAATAGGAAATCATTATACTGATAAAAACTGTAATGATATTGTTTGTTTCATAAAACTATTCTAATATAAAATTATAGTTAACCAGCAATTGAGCGGAAAAATAAAAATTACTCAAGAAACAGTTTAAAGTAAAAAATATTATAGGCAAAATAGGCAGATTAGCCCCGACAAAAATGTTTGTTTACTTGTCACACGCTTACACGTCGTTTTAAATAATAATATTGTGAGCAGCAAACATATATATATATATATACTATATTTGTATTAATATGCTATATGCACATATTACATTGTACCTATATTATAAGACCTAGTCGTAAAATAGATATAGGTACCTATATATATATGCGAACACGTAACGATCGCCGAGCAGTGGTATACCTACTACGGTCGCGTGGTATTTACCATAGTAATTACGCGAGTTTACCTGAAACGACACCACTTGTGTATAAAATGACTATTTATTACACGTCATTGGAGCTGTAGAGGTACCTCCTACCTGTATTATAGTATGGAATCGAATATCGTCTCGATCTATAATACACGTGCAACCCTGCACACGCTCGAGTGGCGGCGGTATGTCTCGATTCGCTATTATCGAAAAACGATTTCAATTTCGAACAATATAAATCGAAAGCTTTCGGATTCGATGTTGGGTAGTCATTATAAAAATAAAAAAAAAAACACCGACCGACCGACGAACAAACGAAATAGAATTGAATTCAACGGTCCGATGAACGCATTTATGATTTGGTTTTCAGGCTATATTTTCTTTTTCTTTTTTTTTTCAAAAAACCAAACGAATACGTGGACGGCAAAAAAATAATCCCGTACACACACTAGTGAGAGGGTATTCCCCCCCCCCCCACTCTGCGGCGATGCGCAACCGGTATTCATGTCAAACACAAAATATTCGAGTTGAATTCGAATTTAAACGGTTTTAAATTTTAATTAAAACTTGAACGATTCAAACACGGCATTGGGTGTTTTAATAATAACGTCGTCGTCATTACCGAGTTTGTAATCCTTAATGACACAATGATACGCGAGCAGGAACATGCATCGTGCAAATGTCTACGTATTCGCTCTTTGTGATTATGTAGTCATAATATTTATAAACATTATATACTATGAAAATCATCAGGCAAGATATTATTATACGGATCATACTACATGTTCTCGTATTACGTGTGTAATAGTTTAAAGTACTAAGTGCAGTCAGTTAAAAACACATTAAGTAGAAAAACAATGTAGGTACACCATAGTACTTACTACGTAGAAAAAATATGTCGTGGAAACACTGTAGTTTTATAATAATTTATCAATATATCACCATAATTAATAGGTATACCTACCTGATCAACTGACAAACTCACTTTCGGAGTGTACAATAAATTACAACGCAGACTTACAAACCAATCATTTTCGAATCGAAATACTTAATCCGTGTATTAATTTTTGTACGTATGAACAAAATGAACACAAAATTCTGTGTACATTGGTAGGTTGGAATCATATATTGTGAAATGCACACAACAAATTGCATGATTCCCATCTATACATATACATATGCGATCTATAAAAATCAAAATAAATACTTATAAATTGTAATCATCAAATTTTGAAATGAATTCGCTTTCCGTGGAAATTATTACTGCACAGCTCACAAGTCAAAACTCATAACGGTCATAACTATTTGGGAATGAACAAAAAATAAAATGTACAGCAATTTAATTTTGATTACAAAATATGTAAAGTCATACAGTATATTCAATAAACCTTTCTTTTTTCTGTGTACGTGTAAGTCACAGTTAATATACGACATACCTACTACGCACTAAACAAAGACCAACGGTATCGTTTTAATAACGATTTACATGAACAATCATTTATTAAAAATACTGAAATACCAAAGGTTTTGTTTGAACGAATTTTTCGTTAAACGTGATATTAAAACAGTTCGAAAATTGTGTTATTGACGTTAAAAATAACGGTGGACCACAATATTTACAATAATTATTTTTAAAGTTGGTTTGATTCGACAAAAACTATATACCAATCTGACGCAATAATTATGTAATTTGACATTAGAGAAGTCAAAGACGTTGTCGACGGCGACGGGCCGAACGGAAAATACCCTTTACACTGTTTTAAATACACTTATGGAACTCAATATGTTTAATGTTCCATGTTTCATCGCAACGGCCCAGAAACTTTTGTGGTACACATCATGGCGCAGTGGGCACAAGCTCCATTTCACCGACGAGGGCTTTTGCAATATTTCGTATTGTTATATGATCCCACGTTCAATTTACCTGTCGAACTATTTTTAAAAACGTTCAAACCATTATTGTAATGTTGTTTTAAGAAAAGCATCACCCCGAGGTGTGAAAAATTCACAGTCGCGAGCAAGTGTGCGTGTGCTAACGAAACGGATGTGCAGAGCAGCTACTTTTGAAACGATATGCCCCCAACATCGATTTTTTTTTTCCATTTCATTACAAATCACATATTCTATTAAAACGAGACCCACACCGCGTTGCGTGCGTATATTCACAAGAAAAAAACGTAGGTACCCAAGTATATATATACGATCAGTGGAAAAAACATACACCGCGAGTTCGGTTAACGATTTCCTGTGCGTGTGTGTATACAATGTAAAGAACGACTACTAATCGCGTACAGGGTGTGTCAGTAACTGATGCGATTGCCGAGCGAGCAAGAGGATCTTTTCACTCCGAGAAAAAAACACTGTCGACCGCCCTGTAGAATTAAATACGCACTACTTAAATGTATTATATTACGGTCGTTATATTGCATAATTTAATTAGTGTGCGGGCGAAACGGCTAGCGGCGAAAAATAATTGGACGAAATTATTCGCGGGAAAGCCGCAGGAGTGGGGGGGAGAGTAAAGATTCGACGAACCCGGACCCTGCTGCGGGAGGAGGGGTAGTCGGGTACATCTGCGGCGCCGGAGACTGCCGTCCGAATATTGTTTTCCAGATGTCTCCCCGGACGACGACACCCTTGAGCGGCAAGTTAATATATTACGTGATGGTGTTGCTGCACGGGGTGTATATATTATTATTATCAAGGCACTGCTTAATATAATATACGAATCATATAGAAGTGCGGTCGGGGTGCGCAGAGTATGAGCGCTTGTACACAAGCCTAAGGGTCGGTTAGGTTAATGTATGAACAAAGTCAATTCCAAAATAACACTCTTAGAAAGAAAAAATAACAACATGTGCAGGTACTTGCGACCAGTGTTCACGCCGCGGCTTAAAAATATTATAGAATATGAGACAAGAATTAGGAAATTATATCATTTTCGATAAACCCGTCTTTAAAAAAAAAAGATGTTTCTATTTTTCAACATAAAAAAACAAAAATGTGATAAAAAAAACACCCATTGTTTTCCGCGTAACAATAGAAGCAGTGATAACACAAATGGTTTCAATATCTGATTATAAATATTTTTTTGTAGAGCGCATTATTTTTATCGGCTGCATGCCCTGTGAACAAAGTCTGAGCACGCTTATAATATGTTACATTTGCAAATTACACTATATTTTGGTATGGAAACAGTTCGACGTTCGACCTTCAAAAGTTTCTCATGGTGACTTTTAAAATTTTATCACGTCGTTTCTTCAGACTTCGAAGAGATCGTGTCGTTGAAAGCAAAATGAAAATATAACTACTACCTAAGACCCGACCAGAACTATTATAGTATAATACTTATATAACTTGAAGCTTAAAGTTATTAATGCAACGACGATTTTTATCATTGCTCTATCATAATAATATATTCTTAAAGCAAAATAATAATCCTTCAAATGTTAAATGTATCTCCTGCAACCAATAATTGATGAACTATTATTAACTATAGTTAGCTTTAATTTATTTTTATATATTAATAAATTACACTATTAGTTTTATTTAATGACATTACAAACTTTCGTCAAAATTTATAATGCGCAAAATCCTGCTTTTCAACACACAATATTTTGTAGAATTAGAGTGCCCTAAAAAAAATCTCCGGTCTAGTGGTCCAAAGGGTGGAAGGGGGGTCTTAAACCGAGATTGAGCCCATCGTATACCAACACCACACATTATATAATAATAACATCATAATAATATATTTCATAACAATTGAGTCACGTGATCGGTGCGAATAAAATATGATGTGGTACGCGTATATCGTTATAATGGAAATTCGGTAGAGTGCCCCGAGGACGAGAGACATTTTCGGAGCGATTTTTTTCACGGAGACCACGGCCGCGGATTGATGAGCGGGCGGTGGTTACGATATTAGGTCGGCCTTTGTATGTAAACGGAGCTTGCAGTCGTTTGGTTTTACGTACCGACCGTGGTATAAAAACCGGCCGAGCGGTAACATTTCGAACTCGTACATACCTGCAATAATATATTTTTGTTATTATTATTCAATGCGGTTTGGCCTCGGGATCTGAAAAATGCTCTGCACGCAAACGCGCGTGGCCCCTAAGTGTAGTACAGGTACCTAGGTATATACATATTCTGCGGTATAATAATATATTATAATATCGCGTGTAATACATCTAAGCTACGGGTCTATCTGTGCAAATAAGCAGGTATACGTACACCGGTAGGTAGTGGTAACGACGAGCACAACAACAACAACAACAATAACGATAATAATATCGCATACACACACGCAGTACACGAAAACGTTTAAATCAAACGGCCGTCGGATCGTAAACAATGGAAAGGTCCGATTCGGTAATAATTATTGTGCTTACCTAACCTCTGCGGCGACGGGATTTAGGTTTATACCTACGTACCTATAAAGCATTCGCAACGTCACCGTTGTACGCAAAACGTTATATTATTGTTATGCGATCGTTTAGAGCACTGCTCGCGTACCTATATCACGTATATTAATATATTATGATAACCGTTAAAGGACGAAATCCTTTGCAGTTTAACTTCCGCGCGCGTAGGCCGTTTGGTCGAATTCGCCCAAAACGTGTAAGCGGTATGCTCGGGTGAATTGTATACTGAGGTGTAAGTGTGTAACAGATAGACCTGACCAAAAAAAAAAAGAATAATGCTACCTTAACCTAGGACAAATTTTTTAACATTAAATGTGTAGTGAATAATTTAAGAAATATACTCGTGTCAGCAAATTTCCTAAAATTATATTTTGAAAAAAGTTGTTACGTTCCAAATGAATTTAATCAAAAAAGTATTGATATTTTAAAAAATTCTAAAAAATAAACTACTCGACTTAGATAAATGTTTTTACCATCAAAACTGTTCTTATAATCAGATTCACAAATTGACTATTTTGAACTTAGTTTAATTTAAAAATTTTTATACTCAGTATTAAAAAATAAAAATAATGTTTTTTTTATATTATACATGTAGCGCAAGTGACTATAAATTTTATATAAAAAAAATTCAAAATATTGATTATAACAAGAGTTATTGCATTAGTCAGTTCTTTCTGTTACACCCTGTATAAATGTATAATACCGTTTTCGGTTGGTTGCGTATTCCACCGAAAATGCCGTTTGGACGCGAAAGAGTGGGTAATATGAACAGAAGTGCACAGGTAAATTAATTTATACACTCAACTGTATACTATGAGGTGCGATTGAAAAAGTAAAACATAAAAGATATAACCACATACGATAAACACATCAATCAGTGGCGTGTTTAAGGAGGGGGGGGGGTCGTGATGTCCTGTACAACTATACATTTTTAACTGTATTGTTATATGAAGACGAGAGTAAATGTCCAAGCAAATAGCAACGATGTCCATTCATACATCTAGATGTTGACGAAATCATCATTGAATTGGCGCATTAAGTCCTAGAAGATGGGATTTTGTATTTATAGATGTTATTTATGTATGATCAAAAATAAATAATTATTAATATCAAAATGGTTTTTTTTTAATGAATTTCAACTGATTGAGTTTCTATTTCAGTGTGAAGTTTGGCGTTAGGGGGATACTTTGTTTGTACAGTATAATATTGTATTTTAGTCATTTCAGTAGGTACTTCAATCGAAAGCTAATAAAATAAAATTACAAGCGCATCAAAGTTCACAGGTGTGCTCAGGCTGCAGGTAAAAATAATTTCAAGCGTCCAAACGGTATAATGATAATATAATAAGGGGGCCCAAACGAACTATTAATATTTTGGTAATGATAAAAATAATTATACTCGTCCAAACGACTGCCGCCCATGCATTTCTCAATTCGATTTTCTGTGCGATTGATTCACTCTGTTCAGCATTCACTGAGCGAGCAAGTCCCAGATTATTGCCTCGACTAAATATTGTCCTGAATCCTTTTATATTTTAAACTCTGATTTTAATATTGCCGAGTGAATATTAGATAATATAGTTAAATTTAAATCCTACTACATTTTTCTGTAGGTATTGCGGGGCTCCGACGATTTCAGATTTAAATTTCTATAGGTGGGTAGAAAAGTAAGTAAAAACAGCGGAGATAGCGGTATGATTTTTAAAAAAAGTCTATTTCGGCACATCACGATATAATGTTCCCGAAGGCTCAACAAAAAAATAACAATTCTAAGCGTTTTAAAATAAGAGGTATGTTTGCAAAATAGATTATGTGGATACTTACATATTATGCTCTAAAATTTCAGAAATCAGAATTCGAAATAAAAACACAACTACCCAGCTGTGCCTACCTATAATAATAAGCTTCAAGTATCGTGCCGCGTGTGCATAGGTATTATTATACGGCCATCGTCGCTTTGCCATTGTTTTCGACGATTTCCGCGTAAACTTTGATATCTCCAATCTTCAGCCGTTATTGTTGTGCAGAGCATACACACAGGTACATCATCGTGTGTACGTAACCATATAGATTATAAAGAGTGGGTACTTATAGGTCGTTGGATATAATATTGTACGTATGGGTGCGGGGTGGGTGTTGGTGGGTGTGAGTTTGGGTGTGTGTGTTTGTGCCAAGGCGAATCAGATAATACGACCAAAATCCCCCTCACACTACGCGTTTCCCGTTAAAACACGAATCGTACGGGCACAGCTCTATAATAATAACAACACTAGTACAATAATTGTATATATATATTGTTGTTGTTGTTTTTGTTGTTGTTGTTGTTGTTGTTGTTGTTGTTGTACTCGATTTAAACCAGCCCTGCACGATAGCGTTTTCGGGCGATTTTTAACTCTGGCTTCCGGACGTCTCTTTTAAAAGATCGGCTTGTATTGTTTATATAGCTTATACGGACCTATAATACCACCTATATTGACCAGTATCATTGTTTTTGTTTTTTTTTTAACTTGTAAGAAAAATTCCTATTGAAAAGATTTTATATCATATTGTAGAAATGTTATCAAATTTATAAAAAATTTAAGAGTACCAAATAATTTGGTTGTTATGTGAAAACATTTACATTTGGATTCTTTTAAAATGATATTTATTTAGGTAATAATATATATGTATTAAACAGACAAAACCTCAACTGTTATAAAAAAAAATCGTTATTTAAGATATTTTTTCCCCTTTTAAATTACATTTTTAAGAGACTATTTTAAAGTAGTTTCGTATTTTTAGTTAATTTATAACGAGAATAATTTTCGTTATTTATTAAAATCAGATTAAGTGTGCCTATCTTTTTTTTTGTAGATTTTTCAAAAATTACTAAAATGGTTCATTATTTTATTAAGATTTAAGATTATAAGTTTTGAAAAATGTCAAATATATTAAAACTTGAATAAAAATCTACTAACCAATCTTGACCTAATCTAATATGTTGAGTAGGTATTATTTTTTAAGTTTTGTTATCTATTATTTGAGAGCGAGAATGACAATGAATGATTTGTCACACATACCTAAATACCAAATATATAGTTTTCCGACGACGAACTTCAGTGATGAAGAAAAGAATCACTGACAGACACTAACTATTGAGAATATTTTATTTAAGGCGTTTGCTCAAGTCATCTCTCGAAGCTCATTAATTTTCAATGGGTTTTGATTTGTAGAATTTCAATACTTCGTCGTTACCTAAAATAAACCTCCTATGTGCTAAATTGATGATTGTGAGGTTTTGGTATCCTTGGATTCAAAAAAATTTAAGTTAATTATTGATAAGACATACTATGTGCTATCTGCTTCGTGAAATTAATGAAAAATAATAAACAATTTCACCTAAGAGTTACCTAATGTTACCAAAAATAAACCATTTATGAAATACCACCTATATGTACTATCTCCATCGTAAAAAATCCTTCAATATGTTACCAACTATAAATCGTTTGTGAAAAAACTCCTATGATATTTTTTTTTCATTAAAAACATTCTTAGTGTTCCTCAAAACTACACTTTTTTACACTGGAAATTTGTTCTTGTCAACTACGATTTGTATTTAAATCACATAATATAGGTAAGTAATACCTCCAGCATTTGAAGGGTACTCGACATCTCTCATCTAAAATTTAAAATTTAAATACTTATATAAGTTATAACTAATCAACTGTTCGTTAAAAATATTCTTCTTGCATTATTAAATTTAAAATATAGATAAGCTGTCATTCGGAAAAGTAAAAAGTTTTTTAAATAAATTAAGATAATAAAAAAAATTATTTTGTACCTAACTTAGTGACTTAAAATTAAAATATATTTTTTATCAAAACGCTGATTAACTTTTTAATAATATTATTTGAGACAATGAGTGATAACTGTTAGTAATCGTCGATCATATTATAATATAATATAATAAACTATAAAACAAACGGCGTGGGGAGTGGGGACTAACTATAACAAGTTTACATAATAATATGGTCACTGCATCGGTCGAATGGCTAATTTCCATTAGCTCGTTGTGCACAACGTCAACGCAAATATTTACCGGAAACCAAAACGTGACGACCTAAGAATTATTTACAGACTGCCTAAAAACGACATAAAGTCGTAACTTATTCATATGCACATTGCAGGAGTTACACATAATATATCACATCCCTGAATTTATTGTTAATTGCCACGAGTGCATGAAATACTCTTAAACACAGAATATTATTATATAGCTACAACAGTGCAGACATTTTTAAATCATAGTACAAATGTTTAAAGTACATTCAAAACTTAACTTGTGAATAAGGAACAGAAGAAAATATGACGCCAAAATACATATAAAATAATGAATGATTTTTTTTTTAAACTCCAAATGTATTTTGTTTTCAATTTTGGCAGAAGATTGGCGGCGATTGTACTAAATGATTTGAATATTTGAAATTTGAAAAGCCCATGCAGCCTTGTTTTAATAATTTTATCAATTCGTGATTATATTTAATTTAGTTATTAGTTATAAGTTGAAAAATTGTATATTTATATGTAGTTTAAAATAATTTTAAATTGTCGACCCTTAAAACACAATAAATAAAATATTTAAGATTACAAAACATTTTCAATGCAGCCAGTACTTAATTAATATTAGCTGAATCAAAATTTTAGACGCATCAAGGATGCAAAAAATTGACGCAAAGTGGACTGGTAGGTACATTTTGATGATTACCAAATAATTGTTGGCGTTATATTATTAAATACTTTATATGTGTATGTAATGTATACAACATCAAACAATTATTTATCGTTCTTTATCCGATAAAAACGAAATATTATTTTAGTCCAAACAGTAAACAATGAATTATCGTCTGCGAGGCGCATTAAAAATCACTTAGTACGTGCTTATTGTTATCAGGAAATAAACGCATAAAAATGTATGAAAAAAAATACTGCCGTACCGCATTAAACACTGAATTTAACGACGATCAATTATTATTATATTTTCACAATGATAAATAAATTTACGTGTATAAAAAAAAATTTAGTTTGTGTAACTAAAAAAAAATACTAGTCAAAAAAATATTTTTCTTAAAAATTTATTTTTTTTAAAGAATGTTATTATTAAATTTTGAACCATGAGTTAAGCCGAATTTCACAATATTATAATTAATTAATTAAATACTTATGGACTGAGCCGAAAAATATGTTTTAAGAGAGTCGAGCGTAGTAGTAAAAAAATATAAAACTTATAGGTGTATTACCAAAAAGTCCCTTTGACTGAACAATGTTGGAACAGTGGCGTACATTAAGCGTAGGTAGTCCAGATGTACGAACATATTATTTTATAATGTAATAATATATTCATTCTTGACATATACCCAAGTAAAAACCACTAACGTAATATAATTATTCAAACTTAATACTGAAACTTTAATATTTTAATTAACTTTTAAAAACGTCTGGTTAAATATAAATTGCTCATCGGAATGCTACGCTTAGTATTTGGTAGGTAGGTAAAACAATAAAAATATTTTTAATTTAAAAAAAAGGAAAATACTTAAATTCCCCCTCTCTATACGCGTACTTCTAAGTCATACAAAATCGTATAAATATTATGAATATTGCACTAACGGAATGAACACTGATTACCTTGACAGGTGGACTGCTGCAGTTTTATGGATTTCTAGGTTTGTACGGATGACTTTCATAAACTAGCAGGTAAGTATGGAAAGTACACACGTACACTACACTAGCCTAGCCCATTTTGAAAATCAATTTTTTGTTCACAAATATTTAGCCTCCTTAATTAGCACGGATTTGCACAACCAAAATAATAAATTGCACGACATTATTCAATGAGCTAACTCCAGGTTCGTGTTTAACCGGTTTTAAGTGTTGCACCAGTCCAGCCTCAATAGCCCGATACTAGACTATTAAAATTATTAAACATATAAATGAATCAAAACATAATAATCATCTAGATACATTAGGGATAATTAATTAAAAAATATAATTAATTAAAATATATATATGTAATATGTATATTTTTCCATAATTTTATGACAAATATTCAGTCCGATGTTAACACGACTTTGCTCAACAAACATTATTATATTATAATACATACATTGTAAATTTATTTTACAGAATGTTGTATAAATTATAAATTGTATTATAATATTGATGTGCTTAGTCTAGGCATTACTCGTTTCCGCCAAAATTTGAAATGACCGATTCCGCCAATTTAAAAAAAGGTTCGAGGTAAAATTATTATGATATATTCCATATTTTTGGTTCTGAACATTTATTAGAAACTTATGTACATGGAAATTTAAAATTTCCTCCAACAATTGTGAATCATTTCACTCACACTTTAGCCATCAGTTTTACAAATCATACCCAAATATATGTATATTTTTAAAAATTTTTGGTTGAAAAAGTCCAGACGGACACTTACATTAAAATAAATAGCGCCAATTTAAATATTGCGAATACGCCAAAAAATAAATCCACTTTGTTAAAATGTGCTAGGACTAGTAAGGCTCCAACTGAATTTAAAAATAAACGAATATCGCATTATTCATACTTAAAGTGTGTTGCATTTAATTATATTAAGGCTATATAAATATTATTACTTTTTAATTATTTTAATTATTATATTTATATTAAAACTAGCTATAAATCGTATGATAAAATATTATGTATTTTCCATTTGAGTATAATATATTTATAATATATGGTATCCGAATTATTTATACTCCAATTGATATGAAATATATTATGATAATTTTACCATAGCAGGTAGATTGACGGAAACGGGAATCAAACCTTTTTTAAATTGGCGGAAACTGTACATGTCCGTTAGTCTAGAAATAAAAAATGTTTCTACCAACAAATATTGGGTAGCACATTGCGTGTGGCATGAAATATTTATCTTAAGTCTAAAAAGTAAATTTAAGCTCCAAAAGAATAAGAAAATAAACTTACGTAGACATCGTCTCTTTCGGGGAAATCCTTGACCTACACATGCAGTTGACCACCGCACACTTAAGAAAGTTATACGGCGTATCTGAACTTAAAAAATCGTGATTTATAAATATTAATAAAATAATATAAATAATATACTTTATATATATGGAATTTGTCAAACCTCGACTCTTTCGGAGAAAACCAAGCAGTATCATATTTCACCACCACCGACGTGGAAACGCCGTAGTTCTGAACTAAAAATATTGTGATTTATAAAAAATAAAACCGAACGGAACACAACATTGTTTTGTTCCTGTTCACTCTGCTTATTGAAAGCTTATTTAAGAATCGTTAACACTGCCTACGTCTTACACTCTTACGCAACGGTTGCCAATTGTCATAGAAGAGATATTATAATAGTTTTACTTGATAACGACGAATCCACAGATAAAATATTATTTATTTGATAAATAATAATACAATACAACTGACATTATAAATGATAAGCTGACTTGGTTTTTATGTTGAATTTGGAAACATGACCAATTTTCTTATCAAATATATTCGCGTTTAGATTTTTTTTCATCGAAATGTGATATGACATAACCAATACATTTTATAATTTTAAATTATAATCATACCAAATATTATTTAAATTATTTTGCCTGTTTATTAATGTGCACAGTTTTTCTATGTTTAGAAAATAATAATGTTAAAATATAATATTCTTATTAAGAATCAATAAATAAAAACGTTGTTATAAATAAATTGGATTACTGTTATTTAGAGTTACCATAATTATTCCATGTATAGCCATATAGGTATTCAATTAATAAATACTTCTAATTTGTCGTACTAGCCAAACTTCTACCTTGTAAAATTATAATTCAAACATTTTCTCCAATGATCAAAGTCATTACAGCAGATATCAAACTTAAAAGTGAAATCTTCAACATATATAGTTTGAGTTTTAGACCGTTACTGTAATCCCAATAATTGAAATAATTGAATATTGATTGCAGACCATACCTATCACTATTTGGTCCCCCGGCAATGTAAGCCATGCAGTTATCTAACAAAAAAATGTATTTACTTAAATAGGTATGTTATTTGAGTTTAACGATATATTTTAATGTGTATAAGTTCCATTTTACTATGCCAAAATACACCGTATTGCACCAACTAGTATTGTTCATTGATAATGAGCATTCCGTTTCCGCAAGAAGCTACCTATTATAGAATGTGTTGGTATTATGTACCTTCAATAATTGTATCTGATTCAACGAGTCCGAAAAAAGTTGTTACAGGTATCCACACTTTTACCGCGTTAACGAAAAAAATAAATGCTGTTGTTGTGACTTGTGAACAAAAGATATTATGATGGGTACAAAACAATTGTTAAATTAAAACAATAGTGAAATAAGTATTTTATATTAGACGAGTGATTTATAATAATTTAAAAGTACAAAACAATGATCATATCAATATCAATATATTACCTGTATAATAGTGAGGTACAAATATTATGTAGATATGTATCACTACTGATAAACTACATAAGACCGATACAAGCAAATATTATCGTCAACTTTGTTCTAACAAACAGTACACAAACAGTTCATATTATAGACGGATGTATCATAATTCATAAGTATAATTAAATAAATCTTTTATAGGATATGTGAGAAAGATAACTTATCGCCACGATGAACGCATCATGATCGTATGCGATTTTTACTATGTTGGTAGGTACCCACATCTGTTCACGTGGTATGTGAGTGTTTTTCTGTATCGAAACTATTAAAACTTGGAACCCATCAAAAACGGTAAATCCAAATATTGAAAAGAATTATCGAGTGAATAAATATTTCATACCCACTAAATATTATAAAGTTGTATACCTATCGGTACAATAAGCACAATACTCTTATAATATGGAATTTCAATGTGTAATTTAAATCGATTAGACGAGACTCGTGACTGCGGTGTTATAAAAATCACAACGATCCAAACGTATACAATAAAATAATAATACATTAATATATGTATAGACACTATGAATATTAAGGTTTAACGCCATTGTCGTCACCATTGACGAAAGCAGATATCAAAAACATGAAAGCAACAGCAAAAGCAGTCTCCAACAAAATGTTTACTGTTAAATTATAAAGACTGTCCTTTTAATCTAATATTTTCAGCAGTCCATTTTGTTGGTACCCAATAATGTTTTTTGATGTTCTCTATTGTCCACAATTATTATTAGAGTATTATTAAATAACGAAATTATAACACGGCGACATACATAGGCTATTTAGCTACACACACCTGACCTGGATTAATTTTTCACAACATCATGGTTGAAAATTAATAATATTAATATACATCATGTATTCATATTAATGCATACTTTATACTTTAGACTCGGGTTGTAATCGTCAGATAGGAAATGGCTGAGTAAAAGGATGTCACAAGTATTAATTTTTTTTATCATGAAAAATACAGTGGCAAAAGCTCACAAATTCAAAATTCCCGAGCATATATTTTACTTGATTATTATAAGCTCCTTTGCGTTGCTATTTTTGTTTTTATTATAAAATATTTGATTGAAAAGGGGTATATACATGTGCAATAATCTTGCATATTTCAACCATGAATAACATAAAGTATTGAGATTAGTATTACATGTCTATATATAATGACCGAGTTTATATAAATGTATGTTTAAATAATCATAAACAGGATATAGGTAATTCGAAATATTGTAAATTTAGACAGAAACATTTACACCTAAGTAAATTATAATTGTTGTTGTGCAGTTAATCAACAATTTTTAATTTCCCCCTGATCTGTTTTCAAAATACAATTTAAATAAAAAACAAGCAAATCTTTGACAAATATATTAGTAATAATGTAGGTCAGTAGTAACTAAAATTCTTTAACTTAATAGTTAAATTACTTACACATACTGCTAATAATGATATTGCAGTATACTTCTGTACATTTCTAGTGAATGGGTGTTCATTTAAATCTATTATTGACTTTATTAAAGTGAATAGAAGTAGGTTTGGACAATAATGATAGAACATTAATATAACTGCAATATAATATCATTAAATGTTTTTGAAGATATTCCAACACCAGCTATCTAATTATATACAATCATTTGAATACATACTAAATATATTATCTATATAGTACAAAATAGAAAACACTGCAAGTTTCTATTTTGACTCAATTTTGATGAATACTAATCATACTAAAGATTGCATTTATCTTTCATAAAAATAGTAAGTTATTTTTGATCGTTTAAAATGAAAACTAATAATCGTGAATAGCCAAAATTGCTAACGAATAAGGTTAGTACTTTTAAATATTGTATTGGTCGAGCAAAAGAAAAAAATGTTCTTCCTTAATAACAAGTTTAATATTTAATCTCAACTTTTATATTATTCTTTGTTGTCTTAATTTTAAGTAAAAAAGACACAATTAGTCAAAGTAAAACGACTTACCTGTCATACGATCAGCACTAAAAATAACTTTCGTAGTATAATTCATAGAGGACTTTTTCCAGATAATAGATCTACTTTAGTAGGTAGTTCTAAATTTCTGACAACTATAAATTGATCTGAAATATTAAATGTTATTTTCAACTTATATACCTAGTTCTTGCAGGTAGGTACTTACCTATACTGCAAATGTACAAAGTACTTCCGACGATCAGATAAACGGATATTGCCATAAAACCGAGTGAGTACTACAAGTTACAACGGTCGTAGTTGAAACTACCATTGAATGAAAAAAAAACCTATTTATAGAATTATTATTTTAATGTTTTATATAGGTAGCGCAACTATTTAATATTCCACATAACGCTTAATAATACATTTATTATAATTTATAGTATATGGTAATATGGTACTTTATGATTTATGGTATAAGGTAATTTAAAACTGTGAGCAGCGGACACACACACGCATGTTTATTATCAGTGGTGCTCATTATTTTCATGGATGGAAAAAAAAATTATAAATTATAAGCTAAGGGACGCTCACTTTCGTAATATGCGGATATTTTTTTCAAGGAAAACTTGATGAATAAATTAGTCCAAAGGTATAATTGAACAGGGAAATTCTCAGGAGATTATAATGACCTAATAGTGTAATAAAAAGGTACCAAGAGGAATAGCCGAGAAAAAACACAAAACAACTTAATCTCTGAACAGTTATTTCCGTGTAAAAAAATCTTAATAAAATGACTACTATATAGCCAATTATTACAGGGTCTAACTAAAGAGTTATGTGTGATAAGATATTTTTAAACGTACAACGCATGCCTGCCAACTTACTTTTAACAAATTGAGACTGTAAGGTATATATTTACAAAATTGGTATTGGAATTGCTTGGAATTGAATGCTAATTAATCAGGTAAGAAATTATCGTATAATAATAATTATTAAATAACAAACAAATGTTCATATTATTAATTGTATAGATGGTATCATAAGAATAATATTCTTAATATATTATATTTTTATCGCTTAAAAGTAGGTAGAACATGTAAAAATAAAAATCGTATCAATAAATAATAAGTAGTTATTGTGTGTATAATATTGCTTATAGGTATGAATATAATAAAATATGATAAATCGTTTGGCATTCTGGACTATGGTTATGGTTTTGACAAACGGCCCTGAAACAAAACGTCGTTCGTACCAGAGAGTATCACGATGACGAACGGATGATTGGCGTGGAAATCAACTTTTGGCGACGGTTCCGGTATCCACGCACTCAATAACGCGAATTGCATTCCTGTACGCAAAATCACACATACAATATGAGATAACGGTGAGTTGTTTTTCAATTATTTAAATTATTGTTCATCGACAATGATAATAATATTATTATACGTTCGAAACGGATTGAGACATTGAACAAAGAAAAATCAATATCACAAAATACATTTCGCTCACTACACAGTATTATAATACCTATGTATCATGTTTAAGTGTACCGTATGAGCCACTATATGGTACACATTATCATGATATATCTATATCTATATCAATAATATCTATATACATTTTGTACACACACACACACACGCACACACGCACACACACACACACACACACACACACACAGCGAGCACGAGTGAGCAAAACAATTATTCAAAGCGATCGGACGGGCCAATGAAAAAGCTGATTTTTTTCCATAGAAATATAGCAAACAGCTTATGTATAACTGTACAATATCTGTGCAAAAACCCCAATACGTTTGGCTTGGCTGACTGTGGCTGGCGCGTAAAATGCGTAAAAACTATTAATTATATACATGTACACGTACACCTCTATAAGTATTTTGTTTTTTTTTTTTTTTAACAATTTTAAGAGTGCAAAAACAACGATATAATTAGATAGGTACCTACAAAACTACAGTATATTGTCGTGTTACAGGCTAAACTGCGGTTGAACAATAAAACGGTTAACTATGAGTGTGTAATATGTGTACATGTCTATCATAAAATTATATAATATGTCTTAACATAAACAATCGCATATAGTGTACCCCAAATTGTTGTTTTGTGTTCGACATAAAAATCTATGATGGCCAACTTTTTTAGAGCTAATTTTCGTAAATACTTATGGAGTTGAATTATGCATTTATGTATTAAGCATATTCAAATAGTCGTATGAGTCTTATAGAGTTTAAGATCAGAAAGCGGATAGAGATAATATAGTATATGTATATACATATAAAGTAAGGTGGTAGTTGTGGGGTACTCTGTAAGCCCTCCTCAATGCGTAATCTTTAAGACTTACATAACTATTTGAATATTTAATAGAAATTCATAATTCAACTCATAAAGTATTTATGTAAATTAACTCTATAAATCGGCTATCGCAGATTTAAAAAAAAGAAAAAAACAACGATTTTTAATTTGTTTTCTTCTAGTATAGTTAAGTATGAAAAACACGACATATCTGTATAATAATAGTAGCTCTCAAAATACGTATAGTAAGAGTTATAAATTATTTTCCAAAAATATTAATTGTTGAGAATAAAAGTTACAGACAATGACACCTAATATTACATTATAATATTTGATGTATTTATATAACGGAACAACGATATTCTAAACATCGATAGACTGGTGAGGGTATATCTTTACCTTAATATTAAAATCTTATCTTCCCGCCTTTAAACTTTTATCTCCGCCTATGTCGAATTGGTAGACACACTAAACAGTGGTGATTCACAAAGTATGCTCACCCTTATTATTTTCTTGAATAATGCAGTTATTCAAAATAAGATTTTTGGAATTTTTAATTAAATTCAAATACTACATATTTTCGAATACTTAAGATTTTTTATACTATTTAAGGAGTATCCTGTGGCGATACAAACTTCTGATTTTTTAATGAGAACCACCCTTTTGCTTTAAATTATTCAGCAGATAATTTTTTTGAAAATGTTTTTGTATCTAAATCAAAACTTTTACGAGATTTTTTTCCAACTTATTTCACTTAATGTACTAAGGACCCTCAGTGTATGACAAATCCTGGCACCCGGCTATTGTTTTACAGAAAACTAAAATATATGTAAGAGTATTATTTATTTTTGTCATATTCTTATTACCATAAGTTATTATTCAGACAATTGTAACAAATGTTTTAAAACGATAATAGATTAATTTATTATCTTATTAACTATAATATATAAAACAACTAAAAAGCAACAAAATATCTTTCTCATTTCATCAAATCTCTTACACAATTTTTTTCGTACACAAATAATTATAACATAATTGATAATATATTTTATGCTGTGAGTATTTCTATAATTCTTAGCCGGTACTAATGTTCAATAACTCGGAAACTACTCAATTTTTTATTTAGATATTAACATATATAGGTACATCAACATTGTTTTAAAAAATAGTTTGCTGAGTACTGAATAATTTTAAGTAAAAAAGAGTGGTTCTGAATTGAAAAACAGAAGTTTGTATCACCGAAAAATGATCCAAAAATTAGTGTTAGTATTGAGTATTCAAGTATGCGGTTTTTAAGTATATTTGAAAATTGCAAAAATTAGATTTTGAATAACTGCACTTTTAAAGGAAAATGAGGGTGAGAAATAAGAACGCTGGCGAATCAGCCTATATATTAATACGATAAGCATTAAGTGAATCAACATAGGTACCTAATACCCAGCATAATACTGACGTGCTTGTATAGCAAAAACGCATCAACTCCAAAATGTTTATTGTTAGGAAATCGTGCAGTTTGAAATTCTACAACACACTCTATAATATACATACTGCACCGGGGTGTAGGCGCACTCGCAAAAACGGTCGGGTCGTAGGTACTTGCAATAATAAAAATAATAATACTTGCAATGATATACCTAAGTCTATGTACACGTTATATAATAATGGAACGTCGTCGTTCACGGGTTCGACAGGCGGCCCATAAACAAGACGTCGTTGGTGCGCGACACTATCGCGATGGCGGAGGGATGATCGGCGTGGAATTCAACTTTTTTCGGTGGTTCGACCGGATACCTGGCACTGTACTTCACCATAACGAGTGCTGCACAATATATATTATATACATTTTTAACATGTCTACGAGGTAAGATTTGTGGTCACTAATACGGGTGACGGGGAGCGAGGTGCGAGCTGATTATAAAACCGGTCAGATTTCGTGCCGCTAAAAAAACTGGAAATGGCCATCGCTCAAAGATTTCTTTGCATTTATTTTTCCACGGAAAACTGCAATAATTGTTTTTATTTAATACAACGCACCGATGGTAGGTATAAAGGTTAGCCGCTCGATCGAATTCAATTTTGAGCTCATAAAACTTGAATAGCGAGGTCGTATTTTTATTTTTATATATAATTTTCCTTAAAAAATTTCAAAATCGAGGACAGCTTTTTTATGTGTATAATATTATACGCAAGCGCACCTTGCCCCTAGACACCCCAAGACGGTTAATAATGTTAAAAAATTACGATCACGATATCCAATACAATTTGAACCACTGTACACCTATAGTATCATTCAAATAAAGGTACAACACATGCACTGCTGCTTTTGCGACCTTCAACTATTATCAAAAGCCAACAATTCCCACAAAGAAACGAGCACCTATACAAATAACATCATCGGGCGACAATCACATACACAAAAACTTTAAATAATAATCGCAAAATATGTTCAAACGAAATTTGTCGATAAACAGCAACTGCATCATATTTTATCGATGCAATAACTGCAGTATAGAAGTGGCAGATTAGCGTCATATATGTGTTACGTACCGTACCGATATTTAATTCGTGAAAAGATTTTTTTTGTTCATCAGACGAGAGGGGAAACTGTTACAAAAATGTATCACAGACGAGCTTCCCGAAGCTGATCGGTGAACAAGCCGAGCGTTTATTGCATCTAAACTCAGCTCTGTAACAGTCAGCGCCTACTCCGAAGTCGCATTTTTAACATTTGTTCACGAAAAAAATTAGAAATCGGAATCGTTGTAACATTACGTATACTATAGCACGACGGTAAACTTACCGGTTTTGTAAAAACGTCAACCGATTTAGAAACCACGGGGTAGTAGTAGACGCCTTATAATAACTATCAATTAACCACTTGAACAAATATGAGAAAAATACGAATTTAATAAATACGAAATAATATGTTTATATAAGTCAAATTGATGACCAAAGTAAAGTATAATAATATCAAAATGATAAGTGATTCAATGGTATCGTATGGTGGACGATTTTATTGACCAACGCAAGGACTTAGAATGGTAACTACTAAACTACCTACCTATATATTATACACTATAATGACCTATGTAGAAATCCGGCAGACGACTTTTAAAAAAAAGTTTACACGTTTCGAAACCAAAAAGATTTACATTTCGAGAGCATCGATATCATACGCAACAGAGGGGCACAATAACATAATAGTCGACCTCGGGCGGTTAAATCGTTAAATGTATATAATACAATGCACGCTAATAACCATCATCACTGCTGCAAACCGCGTAGACGAACAGAACCGCGGTCACGGAATAAGCGGTCGAGGTACATAATATAAGGGTGTTGAATTGAATGCGTAAATCGCCGGATGTGGCCAAATGGTGCAGGACACAGTAATGCGTTGCATGCAATTATCTGTCGCAGTATATAATATAATAATAATACGCAGAACCTGTGTAGGTATAATTATCTCGAAACGGCGTATAGCGCATAATTTGATTAGCGCAAAATATGTACACACGTATACACCGTGATCATCGTCGTCAACTTCAAATGTCGTTTCCATAGGGATCGTAAATACGTGGGCAGTCTATAATCGGATCGATTTGAAAAATGTCCAAGTGACAACATTACAACACAACGGTCGGCGAAAAAACGATTGGTTGGATTGTACGCAGCAGCGACACGCTGATGCACTCGTCTAGATACTCGATCGAAAACTGCAATATTTTGTGCATGACGCGTGCAGCTGTGCGGTATATTATTATTATGACATGCTTAAACGGTTCAGGAGGAGGGTACAAGTCAATTCAGTAGTCTTGTGGGGATTATTACCTACCTCCAGGCTCTAAGTAGCATTATGTGATGTAGGTAGGTATAGTGGGTACTCCTCGTAGTTTTCGATGTCAAAATATTTTGATTTTTGTACTTTGTTTGAAGGATAATTAAAAAAACAGTGCATAAATTCGGTACGGATACATAGGAAGGGGGGCCAAGCTGAAGAATTGGCCGCCCTGGATTTTCAGTAATTTTTTTCTGAAATTGTGAAAATGCGAAGAAAATTGAAAAAATTTCTCTTCTAACACTTGAGGATTATTCCCTCACCCTAGAAAAATTTCTGAGGGCACCTATGTAAAGATTTTTTTTCATTCCCTAAAAAGTTGTATTGAGCAATTATCATTTATACCAGAACACCGTTTTATTTTTAATCCGGAGTTTAATCACCGTAAATGAATATATTGTTCAGAATGTTTATTATATATTATTTACATTATTGTCTTGTAAGCAGTATACGCGTATAGTTTGACGAAACAATGATAATATGCGCCACTGGACGACTGCGAGTCGAGTAGTCGACACATCGCTTAAAATTTTGTTAGGCGGCCTATAAACACTACGTCGTTGTTGCGAGAAATTATTGAAAGCGTGAAAGGATGATCGGCGACGAAATTTACGTTGGGCCGCGGCGGAGGTGGTTGAAACATACTAGTCACCATAAACGTCATACCTGCACAAATATAAAACAAACACAATAGTATAGCGGGTAGTTCAATAATACATATTTGTAATGCACGGCGACAAATTTTATGTAATATTTCATGAAAGCGAAATCACGTAAATGTTACTGTAAGTAGGTAAAAACCCCATTGCTTGGTGTACGGATGAGAAACATGGTCCACGACGCAGGGTGACAAAAACAAGCAACACAGGGACCTTCGAAAGGAAAACACTTAGAAAAATATATGGGACTGTGTTAAAACCCAATACTGATTTATACGAGCAGACTCGAACAGACTTTATAATGCGCCAAATTTACAAGATTTTCAGATGTCGACAAGGCTATAGAGTGCGCTAGCAGGGGGTAAATCGATTAGACAGTACCTCATCAAAAAGCCAAATAAAAAAACTATCCGTGGGAAGGCCACGACAACGTTGGATGGATCAACCTAAGAGATTGAGAAATGGAACGAGTAGGTATTTAAGATGCAGGGGATCGAGAAGGTTGGAGAGCTCTGGTATAGAAGCTGAAAATCGGCTGAGTTACGCATGAAGTATGAAAAAAATAGATTTAAAAAAAGGCGAAGTCTGGGCAAAAACGAGTTAAAAAGTTAAAGTTGAGTTAGTTTTAACTTTTTATTTTAACTTTTTTAAATATAAAATAAAAAATAGTAAATAACTTAAGTTAAGTTAATTGCAAGTTTCCGTAAAACTATTAACCTAACTGAGCTTAAAAAAAATTAGGATAACTAATTTTACTAAACTAACCTAACTACCTGCTATGAACCTTAAAAGTTTTTGAAATGTTTTCTATAAACTTAACTTAACTCAGTTAAAGATTATCGTTAACTTGCCCAGGCTTGAATTTAAAAAACTACCGAGGGAGGAGGCGATGCGACTATAGACCCGCGCTCTAAACTATGCGAAACTGAATTAACTATAATTTACTAATAGAATGGAATAATAGAAAAAATTTACTCCTTGAATTTTCTACTGGTAAAATATTGTTCAGAACGTTTATTATAATATATTTAGGTACATTATGTTATGCTAACAGTTTAACGCGTATGACGACACGATAACACGTGTTATGCCGGGAGACTGCAAAGTGCAAATCGACACATCGCTTAAAATGTAGACAGACGGCCTACAAAGACTATGTCGTTGTTGAGGGAAACTATTAAAAGCGTGAAAGGGTGATCGGCGACGAACTTTACGCCGGGCGGAAGCGAAGCTGGTAGAGTTAGACTTTCTGATACAAACGTCAAACCTGCACAAATATAAAACAGATATAGATAGTAGGGATGTGATAGGTAGTAAAAAATATAGCGGTTAGGCATTTCAATAAAACAAAATAACCTAACCTTGTAATGCGCGACAAATTGTATGTTATATTATATGAAAGCGAAATCGCGTAAACGTTTCATCTATAAAATCATAATAATATATATTGTGTTGTATAAGTACCTATTGTAAATATGCATAGAAAAAAAACTACCAAGGGAAGCCGGCGATCCGACCATCTACGTATCCACCACCCTTAAATACGCCGCAGGATCAAATGGTAAAATATTGTTCAGAATGTTTATTATATCATACTTAGGTACATTATGTTTTACGTTAACAGTATATACGCGTTTGGCGACAGGATAATGATATGTGTCACCGGGAGACTGTGCATCGACACATCGCTTAAAATGTCGACAGGCGGCCTACAAAGACTACGTCGTTGTAGCGAGAAACTATTGAAATCGTGAAAGGATGATCGGCGACGAAATTTACGTTGGGCGGCGGCAAAATTGGTTGAATCAAACTCTTTGTGACGAACGTCATACCTGCACAAATACAAAACAAACATAGGTAGTGCACGATAGTAGGTACATATAGAGGGTATTTCAACAATACATATTTGTAATGCGTCACAAATTTGATGATGTGAAAACGAGGATCACGTAAATGTTTTACTAGAGATACAACACAAAATTATATATTATAAATACCAAAAAAGAACTGCAAAGGGGAGGGGCCATAGACTCGCTACCTTAAGATACGTACTTGATTAAACGATTGCAGAAAATTCCATCCGGAAGATTTAAATAAGCAATTTACGAAATTCGAGTGAGCGCGCGCGATTAGAGCTTTGCGACAATATAATTATTAATAAACTTGACATTAAATATTACGTAGTTAGTCATGGTTAACAAAAACATTCACAACCAAAGCTGGTTTACCCAAATATTTAACGTACAATGAGAATCGCTACAAATGGATATTGGAGATTTACGCTATCAATATTATTCTCGTGACCCGCTCGGCCCACCGGTAGAAGCTTAATACTTTAAACTTCCATAATGAGTGAAAAAATGTAATAGTGTTGAAAAATGCAAAATGCTATATTAATTATATGATAACTGAAAATTATAAGAAACGATATAATTTTAACGGTTTTGATAAACGGCCCATGTATAAAATGGTCTTTGTTCTAGAAACGATCGAAACAAAGAAAGGGTGATCAGCAACAAAATATGCTTTGGGTAGTTGTGCAGGAAGTCTCAGTAAAATTATATTTACACCTGTATAAAAATAAAACAATCTTATAATAAGGTACACAATAATGTATCGTCTGTTTTGACAATTAGATAAGCGTAGAAACAAAAGTGCAAGTCTCAAATAAAATAGGTATAACATAATGAAACTAACAAATTAACTATTTGTTAGGTGTTTATCAGATGCAATGAAATACAACATTCAAAATATTATGAATTCGCATAAGTTTAATTTTAGTATTTGATCAAATTGCAACATTCACCAGCACCAAAATGAATGACGGTTACCAAATACCTAATGATCGTATAGCTCAAGCACAGTTTTAACATTAGTTATACTATAAAATAAATAGATGTAAGAAACCCTTCTTAAAATTTAGCTTTGGGATCAACAATAACATTTCTGTGCACAAAAAATTAGTTGTACCATTAGTTGTTATTACTCATAAAACTGATTTATTTACACTGTAAAAAGTTTTTGTTGGTATTTATGATTACTCGTAACTTATATTTCATAAACTATTCAACAAACTAACTTATTGATATAAATATAAATGTTAGTGAATTTAATACTGTGTGCCTAATTATCAAGTAACAATCAAATATGATACAACTGAAGAGTATAATTAATTGGGTGCTTTTACAACACAAAATAATATAATTATTTGCTTAAGGTTAGTTTCAAGAAACAAAATCCACATTTATTCAACTATTTAGATAATTAAGTAAATTAGTTAATTAAAAATATTCATTAAGGTAGTATAGTACCGTAGTATCACAGCGCAACGATTCTGCCAGTAAAAATTACATGAGAATAATCAAAATATGATAGAATAACAAAAATAAACGGATGGTCAGCTTTGAATTTACTTCTATTTTTTGTTCCTGGAAAACTCATACTGTTGTCCATATCCCAGCCTGTTAAACACATTAAGGTTATACCATAATAATGATTGACGGTAAAACTTTCTAAAATATCAACCCAAGCAGATACTATGATACTAGAAAATAAAAAGCTATGTAACGGGGAACAACAAATAATGCATGAGACTCTTATACATAAGCAATTTATTATGGTATATAATATAGTTTAGTGCTTAACCTTGAATAAATCTTATATTTTGGTAAAATACACATTGTTAAAAATATATATAGGTATTTTAGCTGTTTGATATTGTTGATATTTACATGGTACATTTATAAAAAAAAACTACCTTAAATCAGATACATTTGAACAGGAACATTGAAACTAAACATGTATAATTGATATAAAAAAAAAAATTTTAAAAATAACAGTACAATAAATTAATTGAAAAAAATATATAATATATATTATAAATCAGCTTTCAAAATTAGTATTTAAAAAATAGAAAATTAATCAATCAACTTACAAAATATATATTATACCCTTAACAGTATTTTATAAAAGTCCAATATTGGTTGTATTTTATAATAATTGTTATAACTTTTGTTCAGATCAGATGGTTAAAAACTGAAATATTCAATTGTTCATTATATGTAATTAAATAACAATGTTAAAAATTTATAATGAAAATATTCATCTGAGATGTACCCAAATGTGCAATGTGAAATAAAACTAATAATAACATTTAAATAATTTAAATAGTATACCACTATAGCATTTACTATATATTTTTTTTTTATTAGTTCATTGGAACAACCTTAATGGTCTATGTCAATGTATATTTACTATATAAATATCATTTATTTTAAGTATGAAGAATAGTTTTCCACTAAAAAAATAGCTAGAAAATACAAACACTTATATTATGTTTGAGAATATGATTAACATGTGCGTTTAGACTAACAATAATAAACTAACTATGAAATAATAAAAATGTGTGAAAATACTGATAAAATTGAAATGGGTAACTATTAATAGGATAACATTTGGGTGGCTTTTAATTTTCAGATAAGTTTTGTACTCGGCCAAAAAATAAAAGTTCATTGTTTTGGCCCATTATAAAGAAGATGTATGGACAGTTTGCAAAAAACTCAACTTCTTCGTATGCTCTGGGGGTCATCAAACACCGGGTAAGCATAGTCATTCCTAATAACATAAGCATACACTTGTATTAGAACAGATACTAACATAGGTTGTCTACTGTAAATTTAAATGTTATCAATTACATTAATTATTTGTTACTAATACATATTATTTCCATTCTACAACAAAATAATAATACTAATAAAGTTATTAACAACACAAATAAATATATATATATAATATATATGGCTCAACACAGTTTAAGTTGTTAACAAAATTAATAACCCAATTATAAATACATTTTTTTTTTAAATGGGACATATTAAAGTTCTTCTTTAGTAAGATATTTTACTAATGAATCAATTTTGGTCATTCGACCTACAAAAATAATGCTACCACCTTTAGTCGAAATAAAAAATATAAACGGATGATCAACAACGAAATCTTTACGTTCTTTCATTATTAAACTTCTCTTCATACGAATTGCCATACCTAATAATATTTCAAATATTTTTATTTAGCTAATAAATTTAATTATATAGGTACTAAAGCCAGATTGAAAGTTTTATTATTATATACTACATTAGTTAAGAGAAATGAACACCAAAGTTTGTTATACTTGTTTATCATAATTGTAACACAACAAAAACAAGGTTACATAGATCAATCATAAATGATTAAAATTAGATTATTTCAGCTAAAACAAATAATATCAAACAAACAAATTGTTAAAAAAATTTAATTAAGCATATCCTATAAAATCAGGTTAAACCCAATCATTATAATGTAAGCTAAATAATAATGCATTTATTAGAAACCTTTAACTGCAATACATTTTTACTATTAGAATTTAAAAAAAAAAAACACTACTAATTTCCTTTAAAAAAATGTGTTCATAAATGTTAGCAACGGATAGTTCTTTAATCATACATTAATCAATTAAAATTTATCTAGGTAGGGTTTGATTGGGCGGGCGCTATACACATCTATATGAGTTATCTCAGTCTAACAAATGTACAACATAGCAAAAACTGTTTATGCGCGATAGAATCACTGAAACTGTAGTGATAGTTAAGACTCCAAGTTGTTATTGATTGAGAACATTATCTGTATAATATCATTTATATCATTCATATTATCACTTATATGAAAAAAGTTCTTGTTGTTTCAAAATCCCATTAATTTTATGTTTTTCAAACTTGAATAACTTTATTATTTGTAGTTCGGACATCAAAAAAATAAAAACAATATTTCACAGCCAAAATTCTCCTTTTATGTTATTACTTATTAGCTATGAATGCAGCCTTCTCGGTTTTAATGTTAAACGGTTTCAGTTTTTGCTATGTGTTAAATTTGGAAGAGAGGGACAACACATGCAGTTGTAGCGTCCTAAAACTATGCAGGAGTCTAATACAATTCTTTACGTAGTATATAACATCTAGATACAGATATCAAATTTAAAAAAAACATTATTAATTTAATAATTTAAAAAAAATGTCTAACTAATAAGTTATATTGAAAAGTATCGCAAATTTAGGTTGAGTTATTCGACTCAGTTTCTTTATGTTGTATACAAAAATGTTAAAATAAAATGATAAGAAAATAATTTAATATTATGATGATATTTAATTTTATAATACATATTAGTGTATTATAATTATGATATATTTGTACACATTATTATTTCTTAATTATTAAATCAGTCAACATGTTTTTAAATGCTTACAGAAACAAAATTATTCAAACAAGAAATAGATACGTAGAATCTTATCTTATCCTATAATAATAGTTGTTTGTACATCAATTATTTTTATTGATTCTTATTCACTTTGCCCTTTATGATATGGTTTGCGAACTCTTCTTGTGAGCAATTCTATTAAATTCGATACACTTATTTGATATTGAATCAACATTTATTGTACAAATAAGTACAAAAATAGTAGCTAAAAATCTGATTAGACACATCAAGTTAAGGTGTCAGAAAATGAATAAATAAAACAAACCTTGGTGTGATGTAATTTTAATAACTAAAGAGATAAATTATTAAAATAAATAACTTATAAGTAGAGTTGTTGAAATACAAAATTTAATTTTTGTATTGTATTATATGGTATAACTATTATATGGTATAAACTATAAAGCTATGTAGTATCTTAAATGATCAACAATTTAACATAGGCTATAAGACTAATGAGTAATAACCAATTTCAAAATATTTTAATCATATTTAAAAAAAAATTTATAACAGTAATAGAAGAATTAGGTGAGGGTAAATTAATATTTAAAATCATGGTACCATTGTTCCAATAGTAATGACATATGTAGTGATTAGCAATAATTTAAATTTAAAAAAATTAAGTTACAATTCACAGTAAATTATATTTTCTAATATATTTTTTTGTTTATACCGCAGATATAAAATAATTTTATACCACGGTAATATAGTACCTCGTATAATAAAATTATATGCAGATGTATAATACCATTGATTATAAATACAATAGCAATTATAATCAATGATAATACCCACTCACATCTCTACTTATAAGTAATGATTAAAATAGTGCCTACTGATAGTTTCTAAAAATAAGTATCTTCTATCACCTATTCTTATAAAAAGATAGTCCCAACAATAAGCTTTTAACAACCATGCATACAATTATTAAGAGTTTTAGACAAAAATACACCAGTATTTAAACATTTTAAAGAGGTTAAATATTGGCAAATAATGTGACGTGCTTAATTAATAGAAAATATATTACTTGTTAAATATTATTTTATTCCTAAAAAGTGGATAAAAGAAGAATGATTACCAAACCCCAGTTAGAAAAAATAAACTATGTTACCTGTAGCTGCTGCAGCCTCGGTTCCTTTTTCATTAACGTCAACATATGCCTTATGCATAACTTTACTCACATACAGATCACCATCTTCAACAATGTTAGAAAAGTTTGCCGCTCGTGTAAACATTGTTGGACATCCAAGCTAAAATATATATTATAAATAAATAAATATAGACTTTTTTTAAATATACTTACGTTGGATAATGTTTCTTCTAATTGCAGAGACTGCTCTAATTTGAAACGAGGCAATTTGACAGTAACATGATACTGGGTCATTTTATTTGAAATTTCATGCAATTTAATTTTTGAAAAGTTATTTTCCAGGTCTTTCAAACCATCCTTAGCATCGGGCAATAAAATTATCATTTTAAAAGCGTGGTGCTAAACAAAAAATACAAAATAAAGAATTTTTCAAAATATTATATTTATTTTACATTTATAAAGCAATATTCACTTCGTAGGGTAATTCAAGTGCAGCGAATTTTAGATCACTATCATGATAGTATTGCAAATCGTGTCTGAGAGTCATCATTTTGACTGTTACTTTGTTGCTTGGAGTTACATAAAATGAGTCATCTTCTGCATCATTAAACTTATGTGCCCAAGCACTTTTAAAATGCACAGCATTTGCCAATACTAAGGCAGTGGCTTGAGTAATGGAATCTGTAAAAAAAATGAAACATTAATATTACTATATTATCCATATTTAAATATAAACATATTATAAAAGTTATTAACCTTTAGGAAATAAGTCTTTGATTTTGTTATTGGTTTTACTTAAAACCCAATTATTCAAATATTGGCGCTGTTGATCGGGGTCACTTTTGAAATTTAATTTCTCCATAGAAGATTTTAAATATTTTTTAGAGTTTTCCACAAAACTATCTTTAACATTGAAAGCTGTATCGACAAACATTCCGGTTGCCAATTTCAGATTATCATTTTCACTCTAAAATAGTATTAAATTACAACATATTATATTTTTATAATGTAAATACACATAACTATTTTCATACACTTTTAAGTATGCTGTATTTAACAACATTTAAGAGAATAAATTTTAAGTATAAACTACAATGGTATTTAGGTGAAAATTTATATTCTATTGTTATACATTTCATGGTTGTTAAAAAAATCAAAAAGTTAAGCAATTTAATCTTAATATTCAGACAACGCATAATATGCTCACTGTTAAGTCTTTCAATAGATTCTTATATGCTTCCAATGAATGAGTAGTTTCATTTAAATGTATAGTTTTTATCATTTCATCAAAGGTTTTTGAAGCTGCTCCAACACTAGCCATAAACATAATCACATGGATACTGAATGGTGAGTAAAATATATTTCCTGTTTCGGTTTTGGCCAATTCCTAAATTAATTAAAAATAATAATTAGATAAAACAAATTACTATATTTATAAAAAAAATAGTTCTTTACCTTGTACAAAGAAAACGAAAAATCATGATTTGCCAAGCTCAACGCTTCTAAATTTGTGAGCGCCATATTTTTAGGATCTGAAATAGATATATGAAATAAACTTTTATTAATTCACACTTATAGCAATAGGTATATTCAATAAGTAATACCTAGGTAAGTAGCAATTTTCAAATTACAATAAAATATTTAAATAGGTACTATATAGTTTAATAGGGATCTCAAGACTGATAGTACTCAAGATAAATAACCTAACTTTATATTACGTATAAATAATTACATTTCTTACAATAGTATGGCCATTGATAATCCAATGCAATACTCTTATTTCGTAAACCGATTTATATAAAATATATAAATATTAATGTATACTATCTGCATATTGGACATTAAGAATTAAATTAAAAATAATAATAAATAAATAGACAGAGAAAATTTTAAATGATATTCGGTGTATTTAAAAAAAAATAAGATTATAATTTAAAACATATAAACACAGAAAATAATTACATTAGACAAAAATAAACTATAAAATGATGATTACTTATCTAATCCGCTTATAGGTCATCTAAAATTTAACAAAAAGTTTGACCTTCAACCTAATAAAATTGTAAGTACTTATTTTAGGTATGACAATTCAAAAATTAATACACAAAGAACTTACTGCAGTAGGCCAATAGTTACACAAGTCTAATTACTACCTACTAAACATAATTACAAGGCATATGAAAATTTAACTTGAAACTATATAGTTTCCTAACAAGTTACAGTATACAAGAAGAATGGTCATCAAAGTAATTTAGGTATTAACTTTTGGGTATAAAATACATTTTGTCTTTCTTTTCAACTTATTTCCATTTGATATTCACATCTATGGACAATATTGAGTAGGGGTTCTAATGCAGTTTGCGTTATGAGATTGAACTTTAATTAATTCATGTATGAATAAGTCTGTAATTACTTAAAAATAGGTAGGTCATTCAGTTTATTATTTGTTACATTGAAAATATCCATTAATAAGTTGTAATAAGGGAGGGGGGACAAAGAGGTTGATAATCGAAAACACCAACAAAACTTAATTTCTGTCCATCAGCATCAACTTTTTCAGAAAGAACTAAAAATCTCAAAATGTCTCAGTCAAAGAAACTTTTATCCAACATATAGATATACAATAAAATAATGTATTTAGACTACACTATACAACTGTAAAATGATCAGGTCACCGAAATATTGTGGAGATCACATTATTATTATGGATATCGAAAAATGATTCTAAAACTTAGATACATGCATTTTTAAAAATATTTTATCTAATCAAGAAATGTATTTTTTTCATATTCCTATAACCATTAATAATTAACCATACAAGAAGTGATCAAGTTTAATATTTTAGTTACGGTCAAAACGTCAGAAACCTTGGAAATCGTTGCACAGGGAAATAGTAAGTTGGTGTTATTATTAAACCGGTGTTTATCTTTCGTAAGCTTCGAGCAGACACGGCCATAATAAGTAAGTTCCTAGGTGATTTCCAAGACACGAGAATCCACATCGACGGGCAAACAACCGAGAACTCTACGCCTTGCCTAAGTACCTAAATCTATTCGAAACAGATTTTACCTTGAAAACGGTTTTTTTTTCCAAAACCCTCGCACGAAGTTACAACTCACTGTCCGGCGGGTCGGCAGGTGGATATTATTTTATCGACGATCGCGGTGCTGCTTCGGAGACTCGGGAGCACAGACTGCGGTCTGCGGGTGATTGGGTACTGAATATTTCATATTTCCTACCTAGATAATATTGCTATTATAATATTATATTGTTAGTATGATGGTTTACTGCAGTGATGGTACTTTGGTCGGGCTAGGCGGGACAACTACGGTCAACAACAACCTGAAACCCGCCGATTACCGACGGTGACCAATTACGTTGGCGGCGGCGGTGCGACCACAGTCAGATGAGCGGATTTTTTAATAGGATGTGCAAAGTGCACGGACCGACGGCGGTTCCCCACTCATCGTCGATGACGTACCTCCATGCGTTTCCTTTCGGATTTTTCACCGCAGATATACCGGGAATCTGAATCGTCGTTATTTATCGCCTATTATTCATCATTATTTGTATGATTCAGCATTGAAACGATACAAAACAACTAAACAAAATAGACGAGTAAACAGGGCTTAACGTGCCATCAATTACTCAAACTGTGCACCTAACGTTATCATAACAATATATAATACCTAATATGATATTACCTATTGTAACACATCATTTTGAAACATTTACATTGTATTTATTGATGACTAATAGAAACTAATCACATCTTTGTTTGTGTTTATCATAAAACCCAACGATGCAATTAGGTAGGTGATTTAAAATTTAAATAACTAGTCGACATGACAAGTATGAATTAAGTAAGTATATTATGTACTATGATTAGGATTGCCATCCGTCCCGATATATCAGGACTGTCGCCGATATTGATATCTTTGTCCCAACGTCCCGACAAAAGACCAAAATGTCCCGATTCATGAATCATGATCGAAAAACAAAAAATCTTGTACGACTAAACGCCCATGATTAAAATCCAATTAAATCGTTATCACAATCGTTATTGTTATCAATGTATAAAAATGTTATAATAATGTAGGACACGAGAACCCGGCATAACTACGAAATTTCGGCAAATGTCAGGCAGGCGCTTTATTTACTCGACGCAACATATTATATGAAACTCAAAAAACCGTAATCAAAAGAAAATTTACTACATTTATTTGCTTGCAAACCAAAATGAAAATTTTTACTTCAAATTGAGAATTTTTATACACTCCATCCTAGAATTCCTAAATCCTAGAACGTCCAGACGAGACCCTAGCCAAATATGGTAACCATAACTATGAAAAACATTATTATGATGTGAGAATAATTATTAAGTACTCACCGTCACTCATAACTTCGTCGGTATTTCTGGTCAACGGCAAACTTGTGTGTGGAACAGAAAAAAGTGTAGAGTTCAATGAGACGATCGCGACCTGCGAGTATCCGTGATGGTACTTTTGAAATAAAATCTAACAACCGGATGACTTCTCGCGATGAATTTCGGACGTGACTACCAATAATTATTATTCGTCCGCTGCGTACGTGTCGCCTGCAAAGAATGGGAAGGATAACTGTTTGTTCTCTTAATAGTATTATAAATTATTATAATTATAATTATTATCTAATACTGTTTACTGTTATAGTTTGGAGTTTTCTCTGAAGTTAAAATAGACGCAATACCTTTTCTATGCGTTGTCACCACTTGTCGAGGGTCGTTGGTCGTTGATTAGATAAGAGAATGTTAACACTGTCCGCACTCCGCGCCCCGCCCCCGCGGGTGCCGAATAGAGCGATAAGCAAGCGCAACGACAACGTGCCGTGACGTCATCTCCGAACTTTTGTAAGTAGATTATTATTTATTACAAAAAAGACTCAATAATAGGAGGTGCAGGTGGTAAGTACAATAGGGGCACATCGACCTCGCTATTATGTTGTGGTTTCTGGTTCCCCTGGGAATTCGTTTAATGCCGTCTACCGCTATTTGCCTACATTGTAAATTGTAATTAGGTCTGTGTTCTGTGAATAAATATAGGTTGATATAAAATTACCTAACACCTAAACTATTTATAAAATATGGACGGGATTACATAAGTATTTTAAAAATAGGGAAACCAGAAAAATAAAGTAGTAATTAGAGATGCGATTAAAATTCAAATACTAATTAATCAAAATATAAGTTTCAAAATTATATAGGTACCTACCTATAGTTTATAAGGTCTCATGACCTATACAATTCAAATTCTGTTTGTGATCAAACTAAGTTGTGCAACTTACAAGAAACAAAATAATATTGTGTTTGTTTAAAATTCACAGCCCCGCAGACTGCAGGCTATTATTAGATCGTTCATGTTTCATGTTTATACAACATAATTACTTTGCCTTCCAAACATATTTAAATAGGTAGGCACTAGGCATATAATTTAATACATATGATACAATATCTGATATATTGATATATCACAGACGACAAATGTAAATGTACATTTTTTTTGTTCGAGCTATAACTAGACTTGCATCCTAAGTCTTTAGCAAACTCGATTTTACTATTTTAATAAATGTCGAATGCTTAAAATAAAACATTATGATATTCTGCAGATATCCGTATGATATTGCTGCGACACTCAAGGCCGAATTTAGGAATGTGGTGCTACCGGACAATTACAATTTGCCCCTTCTCTGCCCACTCATACTTACAATTTAGTATTTACAAACATCATATTAAAATTTATATTCACAGACATTCCGATTGCACTGAGAGGATCTTAAAATTCAAAATTTCCTGGCTCTAAACTAAAATAATAATTTATTGTCACCAGTTTTTTGAAAGATTTTTACCAATTTTTTGTCGAAGGATTTTAAAAATCTTTAATAAATTAATTGTATTTACAGTGAGTGGAATTTAAAATGTAATATTAATAAATATTTTTATTTTAATATAATATTATTGTTTTTATACAAGATATGGCATTCCTATAGCTGATGCTTCCCCGTCCAACTGGTTTTTTTTGTTGTTTGATATAAAAACAACATACCTTATTTAATATTATGAAAAATATTAATACTAGTTGAGTTATTATTGATATTATACAATAATAATTTTAATCTCAAATTAAATGTATTTAAATTATTGGATTATGACTAATGAGTAATGACTATTATAATGATCAATATAAACTAAAAACATTTTATTAATATATACAAATCTATAATATAGAAATATTACTAATAATATAATATAGAGGCATCAGGCTTACATTCTAAAATCATTAGTTTCATAACAATAAAAATGATCAAGATTTTGCTATTAATCTAATTCTCTCAATTATTTTTTCAATTGCAGGTATATAACTAGGATATTTTCTTGAGTGCCAGAAAGTGTTATAAGTAGGTATTTAGTAATTATACAGAAAAACACATTTCCTACAGCTATATTGACGACAAGTCGTTAAATTGGCGGTTAAATATTCAATTATTATTGTTGTTTTATTGTTGTATGTGTACAAATTATTGAGGAAAAATAAGTACTACGCCTAAATTATCAATAATACTCATGCAGTTATGTCATATCAATCAACTAGTAAACATAAATAAATATGAATTAATATATAAACTTTGTTTATGTTTTAACTTGATGCGTGAGTGTATACCTACAAATATATTATAGGCTAGTATATAATACTGCTGTTATAGGCAGGCATCCGATACTGCTTAGTCAAAAGTGACTATATAATATAGTTAGGTAATCCACTTAGGTAAATGACTAATAATTTAATACTGACAAACAAAGTACACAAAATTTCGAGTACATGCGACATACGCCATGTATAATACATTTGCAAACTTTCTAACTAAAAACTAAAAAGATATTATAAGCCTTCAATAGTTAATCATTTAGTGAGTGTTGTCGATATTCGACATGCTGTTAAAAGGTATGGTTATCAGCTATAATAATATTATATAATAATTTAATAGTACCAATGTACACTGCCATTAGTTACAATACTCCAATTGCGCTTATATTGACTATTGTAGCCGTTCGTGTCCCACTCAATAATGCGAGTTACCCCTTTGTATGGGTACAACATTACATTAAAAGGAATATCTTAAGCACTCAAGTACCTACTTATATTGTATATACTACATATTATACAGAGTGATTCAAATTTCAAATTTATGTTACAGCATTTTATCATATAGATATTCATAATAGTGAAAAATATATGATAAAAAAACTTATTGATTTAGAAACATCTATTACGATTTCATAATTGTATAACTCTTTACCATATTTTAGGGGGGTTTTGTGGGGTCAACTATAGAAATTCAAATGGAAACCAATACTTTTTTTTGCAAACACAATATGAAGACATTTTTTGAATAAATTTTAGTGCATAAACAACATTAACTAATGTAAAACTCTATGCTTGAAAACTACTTAAAAAAAGTATTGGCTTCCAATTTTTTTGACCCCCCAAAACTCCCCCTAAAATATCGTAAGCAATTATAAAATTATAAAATCTTAATAGATAAATCAAAAAACTTTTGTATTACCAATATATTTTGAACTATTTTGAATAAAAATTTATATGATAAAATGGTAGTAATATAAATTTTGAATCATCCTGTATATATAATTATTAAAAAAAAAGCTCATGGGTGTTCTGATTTTAATCCATAAAATGCGCTGGATACATCAAGAAAGTGGCTGGCGGCTAACTAAGCTTTAAATTCTTCGAAAATTATCTCAATAGAGTCCTCCGATCAGGGAACGAATCCCTAGATTTGTATATACAATATACCTATACAGTCTACCTGCCTAGCCTATATACGAGTAGATCATAATAATATAGGCACTACATAGGTAGGTAAGACATTGTATTATTTGTATTATGCACTAGTAGTTATACTAAACCCCGAAGTGTATTATAGAGAACATACCCAATATAAATAGGATTCGTGTACAGAAATCAACATTTTTGAACAACACAAAACTAGAACATTTTCACCGTCACCACCCTCAAAGTATTATAATATTCCGGGCGGAGTGCCGGAGTGGTAAACTGAGAGCTAAATAATTGGGTGGATATTAGGGCTAGGTAAATTGAGTCCCGAGTAATAATGTTTTTCTAAAAAATTAAATAAATAAATTGTTATTAATTTATAAATAACGACGATAACTTAAAAATAAAAAGTCTCTACATTCAATGAGTACTGTATAGTGACTATAGTCACCAATTAGTGACTATCGATTGCCGATTTGCCGATAGTGTTTGGAAAGACCTTATGAGCACGAAAATCATCACACTTTATTATCCGTCTATCGATCATCAAAAAAACGTATATATCGTCAAATTATACGTAAATTATACCGATGACTATGACAACTAGACCTAGTCACCGGTTGTAGTTCAAATGTTCAACTTCAAAATTACAGTTCTTAAAATTATTTATTACAAAAAACAGTGTGGTTTAATACTATGGATTTAATGACAAGTGAACGAAACAAGACAATTTTTATAGTTGACGGACATAAATTTCTCTGTAAAAGTGGGAAGGAAAATGTGCTTTTTGGAAACTAATTCGGGACTCAGTTTACCTATACCCTTTTCAGACCCGGGACTCAGTTCACCGCAAAAATGGTATTTCGGACTCAATTTACCTAGCCCCATAATATTCAACTGTTCAGGTGGCTGGAAGGTGACGTGTTTTAAGGAGTAATTTTTAGGCATTTCATTTACCTAGCTATTACATTTGAGGTGTGTTTTTGTGTGAGAAATAAATGAATGTTTTTTTTTTTTTTACTAGCTTTTAGCTATACTATTACAGCTCAACAATTATGTAAATTAATGTTAGTATGCGTAATTCATACAATTTGTTATCGAGTACCGGGTACCGACGGCTCACCGCCCGCATATAAGTTTCCGCAAGCTCAGGCACATGTCAGTACCTATGTCAATGATATGAATTCCATCTAAACGCCATGCTATTCAAATGACAAAATGCCAAGCTAGACGGAATTGAAGGATTCGGATTCGACGAACTTTAATTTTGAAAACGTATGTTAATTAGCCATTGTGTTTATTAGGGAAAAGTCGAGAAGATTTTATTTATTCAAATTCTTCGATAAAATATTGACAATTTAAATAATAAAAATTTGGGTATTTTACATATTTAAGTATGCTATTAAGTATTAATTGTCGTAATAATGATACATTTCCACTGCCATGCTTTAGTAAAGTTCTTGAAGATTTTTAATTAGTTTTTAAATTAAAATCCGTCAAACCCAAGTCCCGCAGTTTTATCTAGCTTTTGGCCTGTTTTACGTGATTATTTATGCCTGCTCCAGCCCCCTACACGCATTATATATGATATATATTGGGCATCTAATACCAATATAGGAACACCAAAAAAGAAAAACATACATCGATTTAAAATCAGTTCATTCAGCGATCAGCTCAAAATCTAAAATCTGGCCTGCCGGACGCATGTAAACTCCGCCACAAGTACCTTTTTTTTAGTGATAACTCCGCCAGGAAAAAAAACAGGTAAAATTGGGTTCATGTAAACTTTGTTAGTAAAGGAAATCAAGCCACAGTATAAAATTAATTTATAGGGCAG